TACCAAAACCTGGCCACGCAACCCAATACAGTAAGTTAACAGCAAAATCAGGGCAGGAAGGTGCAGGTTTGGGAGAGGGAGGCTGTAGTTGATGTTGGAGGTGCAGGTAGAGACACAGGAGGAATCAACTTAGCGCTGTGGGTTGCAGAAGCGAACAAGGAAAACATACAGAAGGGAGGTTGGTGTTGAAACCTTAGTGCACCACCATGCACACATGTATTACGATAAACTTCACTTACAGTTTCCCTTTCTTTAATGTTAATTTTTATTTATTCAGTACAAAAGATAGATACTGCTTACATAAGTGACCAGTGAGTTTTTTTCTCTTGTGTTGATCAGTGTAGCAGACCTTGCTGTGGAGCATTCAAGTCATTTGAAAGCAGTTACTCTTTCAGACAATTGCTATCACTAAAATGCCCAATCAATCTCTGAACAATAATGAGATAACTATTATATCCCTCTGAAATGAAACCCGCTCCCACACCCAAGCCAAACCTTTACTTCCTTTTTTTCAGTTTTTGGTAGAACGAAGGTGTTGCTGTTGAATTTGAGAGACGAGGTCACATGTTCAGAGAAGACGGATTTCTGCATAACCCGTACATGCCTTTGGAGCCCATTCCTCATTGTGGCTGGCTGAAATAGATTGTAATGGGCAATTCCTCAGACCGGGCACCTAGAAATGAAGGCTGCACAAATGAAACGAGTAGGAATTTAAGTAACTGCACTAACTTTATTCAAACTCCCTGGTTACTGTTGAGTTTTCTGCAGGTAATCGTCAAAAGATGAAGGAATGTGAAGAAGTTCTGCTTATGTTTTTGGGGAGTTCATTAGAAGTGTATTGAACAGCAGAGATGAGTGGGAAAGTGCTTCTTTGAAGATGAGGTAGTGACTGGTAGTAATTGTGGATTGATCAGAGGCAGGAGCTGATGTTTCAGTAATGAAAGATAAAATGTCTGGTAAGACATGGCTGGTTTTGAGCTTTGGAAATGACACAAGGCAATCTTCGCACAGGAATAATCTGAGAAAATGTCTTTAAAAGGAATAATCTGAGAAAATGTCTTTAAAAGGACTATTTGAATTCATATATATTGAATAAGGTTTTGTTGGCGAGTGTACTGCTAACATTTCTTAACTCTGAGGATTTTGTAATTCTAAGAGGTGAAAGTGAAATTTTCTTGAAAAAATACAAAACAAAATGGCAACTTTTAATGTGTATTTTATTAACACTGTGCAGGTGAACTGTGAAATAGACCTTTTTATAGCAGAACTGCCAGCACTAATAGTCCATTTTAAGCAATTAAGGTAATTTTTCAGGTTTTGAGTTGTTAATTTTCATACAAAACTTAGAACAATAATGATTTTTTAAAAAGTTTTAGAACAGTGGCAATTAAAAATTTTTTTTTTGCAAGAATCTGATACTGTGTACCTGTGCACAAACTTGACTCTTAAAAGACACAGGAAATTTGTACAGATCCATTTAAAAGTAAGAATAAGTGTTTGAAATCCCTAATCTCTTAAACTAACGAAAACAAATTTCAGGAAGTTTCCTTTCTATTTGATGCCATTGTTCAAAGTTGTCATTATATTGTTTAATCTCTGTACTAGTAGCCTAAATACATGATAGATGGTATGGATGCTATATGGAGAGTTTCATCCATGTCTGGTGGCACAGCGAGGCTCGGGTGAGAAACCCTGGCTGAGTCTTCTCAGCGAAAGGCAATTGGGAGAATTTTACACTGAACATGTCAGGATATGTAGAAGTACATTGGAAGAGGTGCTTTAAATTTTCCTCTGTGCTGCAAAAATGAAATGATCTTTTAATTACTCTATTTCAATTTTGGAAGAAGAAAATTCTGTCTTTAGTGGCTGTACATTAAAATCTGTATCTTTTTATTTTATAGAGAGAAAAGAAACCTTACAAGTTTGGGAGTTTGCTCACATCAGTTATTTCTGAGAAATATTTGCAATAATATCCATCTGGGTTCTTGGAAGCTTTCTGGCTCTTCCAAATGTCCTTTTCCTCGTTTTACCTCATGATAGCATATCCAGGCGGAATTTGCCTGTCAGAAGAAAACTATTTTCCAAATAAATAAATAATTGCTTGATGCAGAGATTTTCACAGCTAGTTACTTTTCTTAGTAAATCAGAATTTTAAGTCAAATCCCTCTGCAGGTGTCCAATTTTTCTCTCCGTTCACTTCAATGTAAATGAAAGTCTGTGTTATTTTGAGAAGAAAAGAGAGCCTGATTATGGTAATATTAAAGATTTTTAAAAGGATACATCTGTTGATTATGGCAGTAGTGCTTTCGTTAGGGTTGTCATTCCTCCTCTAAGTACCTATTTACAGGCATATGCATGTTTTTGATACAGATCTGTCTGCTGTCCGGGAAAAGCCAGACAGAGGCATGTGGGAGCTCCTGTTTCTTAATTGCTTGGAGAACCGACAGTGAGTCTGGTTCCAAAACTGCTGTGTTTATAATTCTCAGTACAAAAGGTTCAAAAAGTCGATGTGATGGTGCCAGATAATGTCTGTTTTACATAGCTTTTGGTTTGCAGTTTCTGATGTGTTATATCCTAATATGAAGAGGTACGGCATAGGCAGGAGGTGAGTTGGCTGTTGCCTTTGGCCTGCCTGCGCTCTGGCTCCGGCAGGGGGGTGCTCCTTCCCTTGGCAGAATAAACCTCTGGACCACCAGGTGGGACAGAAAGAAAACGGGATGTGCAACAAGTGGAGAGGCTTAAGTGGGAGCTGGCGTTAGGAGGCTCTGGGAATGAGAGCAAAGATACTATCAGGGCTGGGAAGTGGTGGAAGGAAGGATTTCCACAAGGATTTATCTCAAATCTTGCATGGTGGGCTGTATCCCAGGAGGGCACTGAAAGTGTGTCTGTCAAGGGCTGAGTCCAAAGGACGGCAGCAAAGACCGGGTCGGGTAAGGGGAGTCAGTTTTGTTTTACAGACTTTGTTTACAGACTTACTTGAAACTAGTCAAGGGAAAAATTGTGGGGCTGAAAGATGGTAAAGTGTAGGACCCAAGTGGTACTAGATGAATGATGCTTATATTGTACATATATAGATGTCTTCTAAAATGAGACAGCATGAAGTAAGACATTTTTTAGTTAGCAGAGGCAGATCTACTAATAGGAGGATGTTATTTCAGTCTGTTCTTACATGTGTATATACTTATCATAGGTTTGCTTGAAAAAAACACACAGAAAATTGTCAAAAGCACTGTATTAGCAAAGTAACGCTCATTTGTGATGACCTTTTAATGTAACTGAGATTCAAAATTGTGTTTCATCAGCAGCTCTGATTTTAGACTTGTAGATAATAGCTTCAGTGCAATATAAATACCTACGTAGTTTTCTACAATCACCAGTGTCCCTAACTTCAAAACAAGAAACCCTTGGCAACAGTGATCTGCAAGATGCTGTATGAAACAAAATGGAACACTTCTTTTTAATGTGAAGTGACTCCAAATATTCTGATTTTCCTCTACATACCTTTTTTGCATGTAACTTTAGAATTGTTGTAGAGGTTTGAGTATGTATTTATTTTTAACCTTTATGCAGTGGTACATATAGAACTTCAGCTGAAATCAGTAAATACGGACATGTAAACACTAGCTCATGTCATATTTAAGAATTATATGGATTATCCTTTATATTGGGTTTATAAGCAACTTTATATGGAAAATATTTTATTTTGAGTTCTTGTTTACATTCATAATGCAGTTCTAGGCAGGTTCAAGATGCTGGTTAACCTTTGGAATGTATTACTTGCCTAGTGCTTAACAGAGATAGATGACGAAGAAGCGCATATTAAAGCCTCTCAAAACACAGGATCATTAATCTTCAAGTAGCTTGGCTTCACACAGCGCGCTGCTATCCAGGATGCACAAGGCATATCTATAGCCCATGGAAGCCTGATGCATCCAGCCGCCTGCTTTTGCAGATTCGCAGTGGAAATGTCAATTGGGCATTACCAACTGCCTCTGCCTGCCTTTAGTATCTCTTCAATAATTTAATATATTGTCTGACTGTGTGCTGAACTCATAACCTATCACTTATTATTGTAGTGACTTGATGGCTCTGGCTCTAGAATCTAAGTTTGAAACCTACTGTTTGTACTTTAGAATATTTTCTGTTTGGTCACAAGGGTAATTTAAAGCTTCTAATGAATAACGTAGGTAAAAGAATGGTTTTAGATCTTCTTACTGGTAGTCCTTGAATCACCTTGATCTAAATTTGAAAGTACAGCATTCACAGCTTTGACATTAAAGTTACACATTTGGTGAATAATGTATGTACTTTTTGGAAAGTCAAATTAAAAATAAAATCAATTGGTTAGCATTAGAGCCTCATGTAACTCTTTGATGTCAGCCTTTTTTGGCATGCTATTAATAAAGACCTGTGATAAATTGTTTAAAGAGGTCTTGGTACTTCATGGAAAGATATAAGCGGCATTTTCTTACACTGTTTTTAACTCCTTGCAAATGAGTCTGAATGAGCTGCCTAGTATATTCATTCGAGCCCCCAGTAGCTTTCCCAGAGAGAACTTGGAAGGAGTTTGCCCGTACACTGCTGACTGTCAGCTGATTTTGTGCTTTTACTTGGGTAACTTTTAAAAAAATGCTGGCTGTGATAGCTTCTGTAGCATTGCTTTTACAACTGTAGTAAAATTAAGATGGAAAACTGACTAAACTATAAATATTACAAAAATACATAAAGTGACAAAAAACAGTTTACAACAGTTTCTTACAGCAACAGAAAATTTTTGTAGTTGTGGAAGCACACATTTCCATTGCATATGTGACTATCTTAATAATCTGAAAATGGTGAAATGGCATTATTAAAATGAGTTAACCTATTAAACCTAGGCTTAATTTTATTTATTTTTTTTTAAATATTTAGGATGAAGATCGAACAGAGGATGACAACAGCAGAGTTGAGCCCGTTGGACATGCAGACACTGGTTTGGAGAATGCTACCAATTTTTCCCTGGAGTAAGTTACTGGCAGAACACATTGTTTTTAATGATGAGTCTTGGGGCGGAACATAGACCAGCAGAAAATTCAGAATAGTGTGAGTGATACTGCTTTTAAGGAAGTGGGGCAGTCTATTTTAGGTCATGTATGGTTTTGTTTTAAAACAATTTGCTTCATGGGCCTTTTTAAAGCAGATTTTAAACAGTTTAAAAAGCCTGTCTTAAAGATGAGCATTGGAAATTTGACATTTGTAAGTGCTGATGCTACAGTAGATTTTTCTGCCTCAAAGACGACACTTATTTGATGGAACTCTGAAAACTTGACAGAAGGAATAGGGTCAGTGCTAGCAAAAATAAATCAACGGGCAAGAATTACACAGAGGTATCAGTCACCAGTTCACAGTCTACTGGGAAGATGTGCGTGGGGTCACATAAGCTGTGTGGTCAAAAACCCCAGATTTTGCGAATGGATCAAAACTGATGTTGTTTAGAACTGGGAAGCTCCTCCTTTAAAAAATCAGTAAAGGATTTTTTATTTCGTCACGAGATACAGCAAACTTGACATTTTGTATGTCATTGCAAAGATCTGATCCATACCTCACTATGGAATTAATGAGAAAATATCACTTCTACCCTTAAATTAAGCCTTTTAAATTGATTAAACTTAAATTTTAAATAAAAATAAATCTTCTGCTCCTGTTATTTCTGAATTAAATTATGAATTAGGTACGAGGGTTTAAATGTTAGATCAAGATCATTGTGACATCTATTAGGTAATATATGCTGAGTTTTACTCTGTTCCATTTACAAAATCTGTTACATTGTAAATTCCAAATGCTGCTTGCTAAACAGGGTTTACAGAAGTTCTGTCAAATTTAATGCTTCTTGGTGTTGCTTTTAAGTAACTTACTGGCTTTTCATCATATGCTACTTCATTCTTTTTTTTGTTTTGATATCGTACTTCTTTGTATGTTGTTTGAAGAACTTGGCCAAAACTTAGGAGAAAATCAGGATGAGAAGCAGATTTGAAACAATCTCTCTTAGGAAGGGATCATTTCCTTTTGATTTCTCTTTTACAGAGTTTAACATTTGAACTTGGGATGGATTTAAAAATACAAAAAGTATAAGGAATACGAGTGCTTAGACCTTAAAGTGTGTATTTTGGAAAAAAGGAAGGTTACTGACTCAAGCAGTAGAACAAGTTAAACAGTGTCGGCTGGTTATGCAAACTGCCTTTTAAAAAAATATAAACTGTGTTTCCACTTAGGCCAGTTTCAGTGAATATTGCATTGATTTTCACTTGTTCTCTTCCTTAGCCCTTGGTTTTCTTTTAAGCTAAAAGGAAAGTGGAAAGAAAGATGATCATAGGGAGCCATAAACATACCAGTAGCAAAAAATGCCTTTTAGAATACCTTTTGGATGTGAAAACATTTCTTGATTGCCATGAGCTGCTTTGTGCACTAGTTAATGAAAACTTAGCCTTGATATACAGTGGGAATGAAATCAAGTTAGCCTGTACAGAAACTGGGACAGGGAACATTACCAGATGCTGTAACGCTGTCAATCTTAAAACGTTTGTCTAGGTCTGAAGAACAATACTTTTTTGGCTGATGTCTCTCAGCTCTCCTGTTGTTGCAGTACTTTCATGAGCTAAACAGTGGCAACAGGGATAAAGACCTTCTGCTTGTGGTGTTTAAAAAACTAGTTAAAAAAAACAGAAACAAATTGAGGCATACAACAAATGTAAAGGCTACCTTAATATATGTATTTTAAAAAATTAATGTGGAAGAAATACAAAACAAGCAGTAATGCTGGATTTTTGTTGACTTCCTAGCAATATGTGGTCTGGTTATTCTCAGGCTCCAAATTAAGCACTGCAAGCTTTCGGATGGGCTACCATATGATCAAGAGCTTATTGAAGGAAGTAGAAAAGCTTTTACTGCCGTCATAGCATTGCTCTTGCTCTTTGCTCCATTTCTAGATTAAATTTGATTTGTATGCTTATGAGAAACAAGCTTCTCAAAGATCTGTATATATGTATGTAGTGCCAGGAAATATGGAAGTAGTATGTAATACTAGGGAGAGGCATAAGCCACAAATTTAGATTGTGGCTTTCATTCAGATCTGTCACTTCCAGATTTACTGAGAGGTTTGGCCCTCATGTATTATTTTCTCATTTGTGTATTTTTAAGTATGGTTTATGGGCTATATTCCACCTTTCCAGATGTGGTTATGTTTCAAACACATCAGTAGATTTGGTCCAAATCTATTTCTAGAATCTTTGCATGGCTCTTTCTGAACCTGTACTTTTGTCTTTCACTTTTTCCCTCTCTACAGCAAGAAGTGTAATTCAGAACTAGATGCATAGTTGCTTCATGAGGATGTCTGCTTGTTTTTGTATAACTAAATCTTACTTTGGAAGCTTTGCCTAGTAAGGGGATACAGATACAGCAACCTTCCAATAAAAAAAAGAAATAACAGTAAAACAAATGAATGTGTTTCAAAGCTAGAAGAAGGTAACCAATTAAAAATCTAATAATACTCATTTGATTTAGTTATGTAAAAGCTAACATTAAGGCTTAGAGTGGGGTCTGTCTAAGATGCACAAATAAAGCATGCTAGTGTTGTGATCAGCTTTTAGGCTTTTGAGGAAAAATTTTACGTGGTATTTAAGGTATTTCTGGTCAATGGTCCAAAGAGTTAACTTTAAATGTCACTTTAGAATAAGGAAGGAATAAAACAATATGCATGTGATAACAATACCTATTTTTGTGTAGCAAACTAAGTTTACAAAAAAAATTTTTTGTTGTTTGTTTGATTAATTGAACTATTTTTGATGATTGATCTCCTTTCATGCCATCAGATTAATCTTCAGGTACGTAACATTCAACAGTGCCTTCATCACCATGTCTTGATTTCTGGAATGGTTTTGTTTTTCTGTCTATGTTTGTGTGGGGTTTTTTGGTTCCTTCACGGTACATGTTCATATTCCCTCATTCGTCATTGTCTCACAGTGATATGGTAAAGCTCGTAGAAGTCTCCAACGACGGTGGGCCTTTGGGAATCCATGTAGTGCCTTTCAGTGCCCGAGGCGGAAGGTAACGTATTGCATAGGATATTAATTGAATTGTAACTTGCTGTGTTTTATCTTAGTTGTATTAATTTTTGTATTGTGTGCCTTTGCCTTCTGTAGAATATTGTATGTTTCTCAAAAGGCAGTCTCACTGCTTCAGAAAGAAGAAATGCAAGTTTACTAACTCTGTGCTTGGAATGTACTCTATAATGGAAAGGCTCTGCTTAAAAGGAGTTAAAACTGTGGCGTTTTAATAGAGCTTCTGTTGTAATCTCATGGGAAATTGAAGTTTAAAGATGTTTCCTTTTGGACTCTTATAAAATCTGCTGCCTTAATTCAGGTAGATATTTATGCAACATTTCCTTGCTGACTGTTTAGAGCCACAAGTTCCCAAATAACAGCAGGAGTCTAAACCAGAGGCATCCTACGCCTGTGCTTGTTAAAAGTGGAAGAGAAAACAGTCATCACACTTTTCGATATTTAGTGTTGTTCCATCTGTTGGGGTTAAAATGAAGTAGCAAAACCAGTTGAAACATTCTGGGTTTGGGGAAGGTGAACCTGTTTTATTATGTGACAGGCTGGAACTCCTGCAGTTGGATTGTTTACAAAAAATTTGTAAAGAAAGTCCTTTATGTTAAGAAATATAATGTGAGGGGTTATATTAGTAGACAGAATGCATCATCTCTAATGCTTACTTGGCTAAAGTAGAGTTTCAGTATTTAGGGTCATTAACATTGTCTCAGAAAAATAGCTTAACTTTTATAGTAATTAGTGGTGGATTTGAAGGTTTTAAGTATGTTGAAAAATGATAGTTCTTCAGGAATATATGCAGATTTTATTTTGGTGATGTATTTTCCCTGTTTAAGGAAAAGGGGAACAAATACATATTTTAAAAATTAATCTTTGATTACACATGAAGGGGTGTTATGTTCTCACATATCCATCAACCCAGCAGCAATTTCAATGTAGAAGTTAAGAGCAAAACTAACTTGCTATACCTGCATATATATCTCTTAAATATTAATATCCTCTTTTCAGAAATGCTAAATGTATTTTTTCTTCTATGACAAATACGTTCACAGGATTTTAAACACAGTATAAGAGCTTTATTTGCAGTTGTTACTTTAAGCCCAATGCTTCATGGTCCTACTGACACATATTATGAGAAAATATAATTTTTTTAAAATTAAGGTTATTTTTTCTGAGGACTACAAGTATTAAGAACAATCTTCTGTAAAGTGGTAAATTCTTCTCTTCATAATCTGAAATTTAGTTAATCCAGTGTGGGGATGGAAAGGGCATGGGTGAATGGTACTTCAAACATAAGCTCAGAAGTAAATCCGGTAACGTTGGAAATGGTTGTAATGTTCGCACAGTTATCTGAGATTTAGACGGTGTGAAGGCCAAGGAAAAGACTGGTTTCAGAATGTTGGCTGCCTACTAAATACTTGTTTAATAAAATTGATGTTAGAAACGTATATTTTGACATTTTGAATAAGAATTTTAACTTAAGCAAAATTCAATTCCAGGATGTTAATGTGGTTGTCAAGTCTGAGGCGAAGCTTAAACTGTTCATACATAATGAGAGCATCTAAAATGAAAAAGCTGTAAACACAGAAATAAAACATCTCACTTTTTTTTAAGGAGGCTAGCCATGTCGAGAGCTACAAACAATTTTTAACTCTTTTTTTGTCCTGAGTTTGGGATTATATGATAAAATTTTATTACAGGAAAGCCAATTTTAAATATAGATGTTTAGAATCAGGATATACTTGAAAATTGAATTCTGTTACAGGGGAACTAATTTGTATATTAAAATGTATCTACTTTTTCTTTGTAATTCTAGAACTACCCTAATTTAAAAATGGATGGTATGTGCAATTTCTGAGCTTTTTTTGAAACCTCCAAAATAATCTGCTCAAAGGGGGAGATACATGAGTCCACATCTTGAAAGTGTGGAGGAGCAGAGTTGGAGAGGACCTCAGATGTTTCCAAAGCATTTCTCCCACGTTCTCTGCATTGTAGTGGAAGAAAAGTAGAGCTCATTGCTCGATATTGATGATAAGCACTCGTGTTGTACTGGTGCTTTACTGTCAGCTGTGCCCACAACTCTGCATGCTTTCAGTGGGAGCAAAGATGTTTTCTCCAGCTTCCTGCAGTGTGGGCAAGGAAAGGAATGCACCCAACTTAGTTTTGGAGCACTTGGTGCGGGTTTTTGGTTTCTTTTTGGTTTGTGGTGTGTGTGTTTTTTTTTTTTTTTCTTTTCTTTCTTTCTTTTTTTTTTTTTTTTTCTTTTTTTTCCTCCTAGTCCCCCAGCTCTTGTGAGCAGATAAGATACACTTGGTTCTACTTTTGCTAGATTCAGAGGGAGAGCAGATGCTTGGCAGGGTTCCTTTTCTGCCTACTTGTTTCTCAGTCTAGCACATGGCTGCTCTTTGTTCCTCCTCTGGCTGCAGAGCATGCTGTTCTGTGCTACAGTGAACCAACTAACTTGAGCTGGGGATCTGCTCAGTAGAAACTTAAATGTACAAAACCAAATATAGTAAAGACTTTGAGGGATGTCCAGAAAGAAAAGATTTGATATATCACTTAGCTTAGTCCATTGGCTCACCATTGTTTTATATTTGCTTGGTGTTCAATTCCAGTTATGCTGTGTTTTCAATTATTTTTTTTCCAGTTCCTTTCTTTTGCTTTTGAAAATGTTACCTAATATGCAATAGTTACTAAATCAATAATTTTAAGAAGTGAAAAACTGTAAAAACATACTAAAGGAATTTTCCCTTTTTTCCTGTATGCAATGAGCAGGGGCATTCTGCCAACAAAAAATCCCTCCTACCCCGGAGCAAACACCCTGAACCTCTAAAAATTATATACCATAACTGTGTCCTTTATTTATACTGAGGAAATATTTGACTTGTTCATGGTCTTCTGAGGGTTTGAGTTTGGAGTAAGAATCTGTCCTCAATATTGGCTCTTGATCTTGAAAAAAATCTGTAAAGATCTCTGCCTCATCTCTGTAGATCCTACTAATTATTTCTGTTCCTAGTACAACCGAGACTTTTTTTTAAATGAAAGAAACCCCAACGCTCCATAATTCTCTGGGAAAAGTACTATTGATTTGTACAGACATGGTCAAACTTTCGTCTCTGGGTATGTTTCCTTATTATACTTCTGTTTTTACCTCTAGAACTTCATCAGTCCTTTATTGGCCTTTTTGATCATGTGGTTTGGATAACAGAGTTTGTTCACCTTATCGGAAGGGAGGAGAGGTATACATATTCATTACATTATGGTTGTGAAGTTTTTCAAGGTAAAAGTTTTGTTTGCAAAACCTGCTTGCACATTTTTGCAATGGTATAAATGGAATGCGAAGCAGAATAGGAGGCATGAAAATGAAAGCAGGAAGAAGGACAGAATAGAAAGTGACCAGGAAAGTGTTTAGATAAAGAGTAGAGCAATGAGGAAATGAATGAGAGGAAAGCATAAAAGGAAAGAAAATTCTAAATCTGTGCAAAATCGCCTTTAACACCAATCCTTCCTTCTTACTAGGCGCTCAGAGAGGAGAGCAAGCACTCAGTCCCTTAAGAACAGCATGTGAGCAATCTTGGCAGATGGGGGATGCTCTGTGGATGCATAAATGGGGTTGCATTGAGTTCTCGTCTGCAAGCTTAATAGTAATTATAGGATAACTTACTGTTATATGGCCTCTTCTACTTTTAAGAGTCTTTGAAGTCTTCTCAAGCTCTATACCCTAGATGCTCTTCTGAAATCTCGCCATGTCTGCCTTTGGATAGAGGCTCAACTGATGCAAGGAATATATAACATCAGAAATCTCTGTGAATAACAATATGGAAGTTATAGTCCCATAGTCCCAAGGCTACTGTGAAGTCTACTTAGTAAAACAGAACAGAAACAGATTTGGATATTCTTCTGAAAACCCCATTATGAACATCTATTAATAAGTACCAGACACCTTACTTTGATGCAGAACAGTGAGTATGGTAGGGCTCCGCCAGCTGTTCTTCCTGTTGAAGCATGCCACAAAATCCATGATAAACCGTACAGCTAAAACCTGGCAGCTAAAAATATTTAATTTGTGTTTCTATGTTATACATCCTAAATGTCTTAAAAATATTAAGGAAGTCTCAGAAAAATGGGAAAAATAAGAGACTGAATTTTATTGCTTTTTGACAGTTTAAATGACAAACTTAACAAATTTTATTAAAAAAAATGAAAAACCTCAAATGAAGGTAGGCATTGATGTATTCACAATCCCCGTACTAGAAAATTGTTTATACATTTTTCTGTTCTGTAGTGGGTTTGGGTTTTTTTTCTCTTTTAGTGGAAGTGCCCTTCATTTTCTAGAGCTTATAAATCACTTCATCTTTCACTGTAAAAGTTTTATTCTTTTATTCAAGATACAAAGAAAACTAAAGTAACATCTAATGGCCATTGTCTATACTGAAGTCCTTAATACTGCCTTCAAGGTGCCTCTCTAACAATTGTATTCTGTTTGATCATCTAGTAGGTGTGTGTTATCTGCATCTCCATTTATTCCTCTCCTGCATTTCCAACCTTTTAAGTCTCAAAGATAGCCATGGTTTTCAAAAACATATGCATTGGAAAAAGGTTCCCTGTGGTGTGAATGTACCATTCCCTCTCTCTTCTAGCTGAATTCAAGGGTTTCTTTGTCTGATTTCATCCTTTTAAAAGTTATATAAACTTAATTTGAAGTATTATTCAGGCTGAAAAGCTGAGGAGTAGTTACCAAAGGTTGGAAATTGGTTCTGGACTTCAGGCATGAAAGCTGATAAAGATTGTAATGTCTCTGCAGCAGTGCCATGATGTCAATGGTGCGAAGGAGTTTATGTCCAATTTAGCATTGATCAGCCACGATAATTTGACTTGAACAAACAGGCGCATTTGCCTACTCTGACCTCCATATCTCAGGAAATTTATACCGTGTTTATGTTCCCGTAGAACTTCTCGGAGATCTTTCATTGCGTGAAACCGCTACACATCTGCTTTTCAGTCAATCCTTATTTTTGCCCCTTAATCTAGTTTTTGCCTTTTCCTGTTAGTGACTTTACATAAACATCTAAATTGGTTATTTTCTGTTCTGTCTGATTTGATTATATTACAGTTAGCTTGCAGGTAATAGGTAAATAACTTCAGTGTGTATGTACAATGGGCGGTGGTGGTTGAATCATATTCTAGGTGCTCAGTGTAATATTTTTATTACTCTCATAGTATTTACACTGTCAGTTTTTATTAAGACAAATTATCATCATTTCCATACAGCTGGATGGCATGTGGGGAGTTCACAATTTCAAAGAACTACCCAGACTAACTCAGGCAATTTAGATGCCAATAAAACATTTGCTGCTGATTTCTAGTTTTATCATTGGCTGTAATTTATACTGAGAACTGAAATGTTAACACATGTAGTTTAGTTTATTTTAATTGTATAATTAGAGTAATGAACCTTGTGGAAATACAGTGGTGCAAATGCTAATATAATCTAAGCTGTTTACTTTCACAATTAGGTGTTTAAAACAAATACAAAGATTGAGCTCTCTGCTTTGATACTGTTTCCCTTCAGTCCCCGTGTCAGCTAACATTAGTCTAAAACAGTGCAGGTACTAAAATTTCCATTTATAATTACTGTTTTGACAGGTTTGTAGACTTTCAGAGTGTTTTGCAGAGGTTCGCACAATATTTAATATAATTCTTGAAGAAGTTATAGTTTAAAATGTTTATAATGGAAGAATTTATGTCAGAAAACATGCTGACTTTAACTGGACAAGATTAAGCAAATTCAAATGCACTTGTATATTTGTATACTACATGGTTGTGTTCAAACAGATACACTGACTTTTGTATTTATACTAGATTAGTTTACAGGTTTTCAAAATGTATGTTTTCCTAATGTAGGAAATGTAATATGAAACTGTAGTAAAGCTACATCTCCACTTATCAGGAATTATGGTAGCGGCATACGGCAGGGAAAAAGAAATCCAATTAGTTTTTAGGTTATTGCGTATTTGCAATATCAGGTCTACTCTGTTTATCTCCAGTTACTGCAACAACAAACATGAATTCCCATAATGCCTTTTTTAGAGTCATATTCTTACACCTAACCATAACATGCTGAAGAAATACTGTAGGAAATTGATAGGCTTTTGTTACTAAAATTTTCAGGAACATACATTTTCTGCAAGTTCTGGGAGTTTACTCTACTATGCAGAACCACATTCAGGAAATTGTTTCTGGAGCTGTGTCTAAAGGGGTCTTTGTCCCATGTATTTATATTAAAAATAAATAAATAAATTAAAAGGCACTGTAAGGATCCTGGTTTCAGATTTGACTCAGGCTGTTCATCCAGCCTTGAATCTGTTCTCGGTGACTTTAGCTTTATATGCCTTGGTTAACCTAGCTCTAACATGTTAAAAAGCAAAATCCTCATGAGCACCGTATGTTGTGTGAGATGAGCAATCCTGCCTTAGTAGAACTTGTGGCCTTTGTTTAGTGGATTATTTGCGATTTTGAGTGGTAGTTTGTTTATTTGTTATGTTATTTTACCGTTGGTTAGGATTAGTAGTATTTTTTTCTAGATTTGAGAGTTTAGGTGAATTACATTTGAGAAATGACAAACTATGCCTAAAGATGCATCTTGGATTAATAATTTAATATAAGTTCAGAATGCAGAAGAGTAGAAAGCAGTTTTTCAAGAAGAATGCTATACAAAAACCAGTGATAGACGAATTACTTTGTAATCATAAATACATGGAAACATTGGGATGAAATAGTCATTTTATATGTTCTATTATCATAGTATTAACCTGGAATGTTGTACTTTGTGTAGAATACGTTTTGGTGTTTAGTGTATTGATGTTTTGATATTATATTTAACCATGTAAACAAAACACCTGTTGCAGTTACTGTGTATGCTCTCGTCCAAGCACTGCATGCACATCCAAATTCTGAACTGGCTTTGGGCATTACAGAGGAGTACACCTGCATCAAAGTGCTGTTGGGCATGAAGTGAAAGAAAGGAAGAGTGGACACAATTCTTTCCTCTTCCCCCTCAAAACATTTTGGTGGTTTTCTCTTAAATGTAGCATTCCCAATTTTATATTTGCTTACTTATCTCTTCCCCATTTAGTTATATTCTCTTCAGTAACTTCATTTTGGGGCTCAAGGACATTGTCTCCCCAGGTAAATTCAACAACTTACAAATGAAAAAGCCACAAACTTGTTTTCTAGCATCAGTTTTATTTGTATCAAAACTGTAACTGAGAAAAATAATGTAGTGAAGACATACAAGTCTTTTTCCTGTTCTTAGAGAGATAAAAATATTTTATCATTAACATTCATAAATTATATTTTAGTGCTTTTTGCAACTAACAAACGTAATCTATAAAATTATTTCTATAATTATGATGTTTTAAAAATCTGAGACAGTGTTCAAGACTTGTGTTAGTGAACAGAAGGAAAAAGGAATTGAATCAATATTTTGTAAACTTATTTCGTTTTATTTCCTGTGACAAATACCTTCATAATTATCAGCAAATTTTAGTACCATAAATGCAGCACAACATGGTCATTAAGTTAGTGTTTGACTGTCGTGGACTTCGGAGGTTTTTTTCACACAATTAGAGGATTGTGGGAAAGGCAAACAGGAAACCACCTAGAATATCTAGATAATACTTCCCAGACCATGTCCTAAAAAGAGTTTCACTAGCTCAGTGATCAGAAAATAAACCAGGGAAGAGTTACTTTTGCTTTAGGAAAAAAGCAAAACCTTTTTTTTACCATTTTATTGGGAGATGCTGGGTTGTTGGAAGGGATCTCCTAAAAGTGGAACGTTCCAAACCCAAAGAGTATCAACTTGGGACGGGGAAGGATAGGACTAGAAACATGCTTGTATCTGTTGTGTTTTTCAAGTTTTGTCCCCCCCCCGCCAAAATGCTTGCATTCTAGAGAAGTGATGCTTTAACTTTATGGAATTTTTCTGGTGCTTGTGCTCACCAGTGTTGTTGCAGAGAGACAGATTGCTAATTGCAGCAGCTGAGCTAAAACCCAATCCCAGTTAGTGTCAGTGACCGCACCCAAGCAGTTCCTGGGGAACCAAACGAGGGTGGAGAATGTTTGCATCTGATGGGACCCCCACAGGTCAAAAGTGCAGTTCATGAGGTGTTTGCAGATTATGCCGTATCACTTGGAAATGGAATAGCAACACTTAAATGTTAATGTCTGATACGCCCTTCATTTGATGATTTGTGTTATCAAAATGCTTTATGTTGTTTTTCTCCTCACAGTCTGTTTACATGTATAGATCCTTTCAACATCATATCTTAATGTCTGTAGGTGGTTCCAAAATGGTAATACTACTAGGATTGTTTCTCTTACTCCTTCATCTGCCTTGTAGGAGAAAATGTATGACTGTTCTGTAAAATAAATGTCTTATTTGCATATACTTATGAGAAATTGGTAAATGAAGACTTTAAAGTGGAGGAAGTAAGTTAATTTTGCTTTTCTGACCCATCTGATGAAGTGCTCAAGTGCATATATAACTTTTGAGCACATGAGGAGTCCTTCTAAGCATCATTGTCTGTTCATTTACTTTGAGGTATGTGTGATCTGAAGTGCTATGATCACTGAAAGTTGTGTGCTAAAAGACATATGTAGTCTTGCAATTCCTGCCACACAACCAAGTATTTTCCATGCCATGCCTTCAAAGGACTTCTGAAAAGGTAATGCAGTTGGCTTGGATGATGTGAATTTGGCCCACTGATCCGTCCTGTGGGATGTCAAAGTAAAGCTGATGATCTTTAAAAAAATCAAATGCAGTGTCGATGCAAGAATAATCCTGAAGATTGAATCCTTCTTCAATCCTAGAGTTCAGGTATAGAAAAGTCATTGACTTCTCACACTGTCCTCCCAGTACCTCAGAAATCCCCTCTCCAGGATCCATTTCATAATTTCAGGTTAAATATTTGGTTACCTTTTCTCTCTAAGAATGTCCTTAAGACGACAGTGTGGGTAGGCACTAGGCAGAGGTGACCAGCTCATTGCACAGAGGCTATCAAATGGTAATTGTCTTCAGTCATTACTGAACCAATTAATTTAAGACAATATGCTGAATTAAAAGTGACATTTAAGTTTTTAATTTCCTCTTTACTGCTTAGTAAAAAAAGTTAAGGCTTAGAAATAAAAACATTTGGTTCTCATGAAGCTCCTGAATCCTCTTTCCATCCCTTCATTATAGGCTGCTTTTACGTGAGATGACCCCACGTTTCACTTGCATAGAAGCAGTAGTGATGGCTGTGGTATTCTTCCTAATTCAGAAATGCAAATTTTAAGTTGAACCCATTCACCTTCAGTTAACTAGCATAAAAGATGCAGGTTGTCAGATGTGTGTTGCTTCTTCGAGCTTTTACTGCTCAGAAGTCTAGGCCTTTTGCAAGAATGGACGTGCTATCATCACACTGCCTGTTTGTTCTTACTTTGAAATGATGTGCTTGATTCACCTAGAGTCTTTGTTTCACGGATACAGGATAATAATTCAGGTAATGCTTATAAATTATTTGGAACTATGATATCCTACTTAAAGGTAAAGGTGGTTTAAAATTTAGTTTCTATAGTAAATATGATAAAATATTAAATCAGTAGGATATTCTATGCTGAAAATCGTTAGAACAGTAATCTTTTGTAATCTTAATGTTCTAGAACCCTGGGGCTGCTGGTAAAGCGATTGGAGAAAGGTGGAAAAGCTGAACAAGAAAACCTTTTTCGTGAGAATGATTGTATTGTCAGGATTAATGACGGAGACCTTCGGAACAGGAGATTTGAACAGTAAGTATACTTCCCGTATGTTGCACTGCATTGTTTAATCTTTAACACTGCACCTTGCAGTAGTTTGAGGAAATAAATTATTTAAGAAAAAATTGTCTAAGCTTGCCTTTCTAAAGAAGAATAGATACAGTAAGGGATGTTAGTAGTTTTTAATCAGCCAAACTACAAAAAATTCAGGATAATTATTGTCATTAGAGTATATGCACTTCTCATTTTATTGTTTTTACACATTATGGATTTCTTTTTTCTTGTGCTGGTAAACTGTTTATTGTGAAATTTCCATGTGATTTTTTGCTCTTATACTGGCACTGCATCATGTTCAATATATGTGGACAGCATGGAGACTTTATTTTTAACATCTTAAAAATATTTGTGGTTTTGTATGTGTGAGAACTAAAGGATCTACATGCACAAACTTCTGGAGAAATTTGAGAGATCATAAACATTTGCTCACTGGAAGCCTGGACTCAGTAGAATCCCAAAATGGTGAATCAGAAAGACTTTTAAAAGTGAAATCAGGTGGCAGTTCACACAGAGATAATTGAAAGAGAAAGCAGAACAGAGATAAGCAAGAAAATGAATGATTTCAATGATGATAATATTGTTCTGAAAACCCTAGCATATTGAGGGCCAAAAGAATATGGTTTATTCTGATCGCTCCATACTTAATATACGTTTGAAATGTGTTTTTTATGTCTTTGACTATAACCTGGATTGGAACATGACCTTGTGCCCTATGGTTGAAAACAGCTTGTCTCTGCGTGTTCTGTGGTTCTGAATCACAATTTGTTAAGTCTGCGAAGAGACTTGTTGACTTTGTGTACTTTGGATTGTGACCTAGAGTCCGATGTCTGTCTGTGCAGGATATTAAGCATTTTTTTCCTATTTCTTAATGTATTCAGAAAGACTAACAACTTGCAAAAAATATAGTGTAAATTAGACTTTTTGCAAGACTGCATATACTCTCAGCGAATGATGGAAATACATAGTCTTTGTATAAAGTGTAATTTTCATTCTAATATTTCTGTTGTCACTGTGATTACTGTATCTGAAGAAGCAGTTATCAAAGTTCAGAACAAAAGGACGCTGCAGTCCTGCCGTAGAAGTGTCTGCATTTCAAGACTGTGGTTAAGATTTTTGCTTTTCCAAGTCCAGTATTTGGTACATTAGTTGTTAAGCATATTTAACCATTGTGTTACCCTAAGGCAATAAACCTTAGCAAAAGGCAGACCAAGTAGACAAGTGAACAAATTCAAGTTCTGTGGTTTATGCTTGAGTGCAATATGTCTGTCAGCTCGTGTTGCTTAATTAACATCAGTAGTTACGCTTATAATACCCTGTAATCTGCCAGTCCTAATTTGCTAATTTTCTGTTCATTTTGAAACCTAGAGCACAGCATATGTTTCGCCAAGCCATGCGTACGCCGTTCATTTGGTTCCACGTGGTCCCTGCGGCAAATAAAGAGCAGTATGAACAATTGTCCCAAAGCGAGAAGAACATGTACTACTCCAGCCGGTTCAGCCCGGATTCCCAGTATGCTGACGGCAAAAGTATTAACAATTCTGGACTTCATACGTTACAAAGAATGTCTCGAGCGGGTAACCAGTCCGATCAGACAGACTCCTACTCGCAGCTACCTCATAGTGTGAATTCATCAGGGAAACCACCCTCGGGCCTGGTACCATCACCTCAGAAAGTTCTCACCTCCACTGCAAACAGTGGGTATAACACCAAAAAGATAGGGAAGAGGCTCAGTATACAGCTGAGAAAAGGTAAGGCAGTAGTGTGCTTCTCATATAGCATGAGGTATGTGTGTGTAGTGTATGTGCATGTGTCCAGTGCCGTTGTGTTGGGCAGGACAGCGTGCAGAAGCACAGAGGAAGTGATGGATTGATTTTTGAAGCCAAGTGGATGAGTTGTCCCTGACAGCACACCCAGGAGTCCAACCGCTCATTCACGTTGTGCAGTGTATTTGCAAAAGGCCATTTTGAAGAGTGCTTAACATTTTTTTCTGTCTCTCAACTAATGGAGAAGTGCAGTAAGTGCTGCAAATTCTGTTGGCCAAGGCCCAGGGAGTGGTGAACTATTTAACTAATAAAAGTAAATAAGCGAAAATGGCCCATATTCTGTACTTTACAGATATCGTGACTTTTCAAATTGAATAACTGTGGTTTTGCCTTTAAATTTTAAGACTGTGTTGGACCCAGTTGGTAAATTGGACTTTCTAATTGCTAGCTAAAGCTTTTTTAATTCCACTGGGATGTGAAAGTCTTTGTTTAAACGGTTGAGATGTAATGTGATATTTCCTATCTTAGGCCCTATGCTAATGTAGTTTGAATGGGGGTGAGAGAGTATTTAAAGGCAGAGGAGAAAGTGGTGTGTGCTTATCTCAACATCTGTATTATATATGCACATGTAGATGCACTAGTACATCTGTGGAATTTTTATGATGTGTTAAATGTCCTTAGTGAGAAAACTTGGTATTTTTCTGTAGTTGCCATCTAGATGCTTTTAAGATAGTTTGAAGTATAATAAAATGACATTTAGATGCAAGTATTTCTTATCATTTTCTTGGGAAATGATTTTTTAAAAGGATTATACATGCTGTAAACTTTATGATATTAAAATGAGCATGTTTAAGGTCAGATAGAATTTGATCTCTAGGAGCAAGAATAGGTTTTAGATTACACAGCAAAAAAGCTTACCCATGCGGCAGTGTTCTCCATGAACTCAAAGTGCATTCCCCTTAGGATGTATGTGTTTTAGGATTGCATGTGCTTAGTGTTAATAATTTTTATTAATTAATCTTTTTATTGAAAGGTATTGAAGACAGTGCATTGAATGGTAGAGATTTTACAGTTTCACAGGTACCAGGCTACTTGTCACATTATCATTATGCTTTACTTACTATGAACTTCACATGAACCACCAGATTGCTTCTTTCTGGTTGCTGAATTTTAAGCTCTACAAACTTGGATGACATAAGGTTGAGTTGACAGTTTGCTTCTGTTGTTGATGCTCCTTCAATAAATTCTTTAGGCCATCAGCTCAGATCAGCCTGTTTGGAAAAAATGATTGTTACTGGCTGAGTAAAGAATCACTGTGCTTACAAATATGCTCTCAGTCACTGCAGTGATTTTTACCTAATTTTTTGTGTCTCTGGAAGCCTGTAGAAATATTACTTGGACCAGCCAGGAGTGGAAAAGCGGTGTTCCCCAGGGCTCGGTTCTGG